TTAGATCCAGCCTTCTAGGATAGTCACTTTAGTATACGTGCTGCCGAAGTGAGCACAAGGATAGTCACTTTAACACATTGCTAGCCAAAGAGCTGATCAATACGAATGAACTGCCTGAAGGTGGCTTTGAGAAGGACTTGCTATCAACCTATATTAGCTAAGTGTGAAGGTTAAGATGAATATACTGACCTTTCTCATTTGAGTATTCAGATGGTTAGCGATGCTTCATATTGTTACTGTGTTTATCTAAAGCATTATGAAAACCCCAACTCAAAGAATAGATTGGGTAGTGCAGGTTATCAGTTAATTTCTTCTGCCAGAATTGGGAAAGCAACCACCTTTCCATCTGAGCTTTGAAAAAAGTGTTTCTTTACTTTCACATTCAGACACAATGACAGGATTTAGTATGCTGTATCTTGTCACTGCCAGACTATGTTGTGCCCACAGAAAAGTTGACAACGGTTCAAAGAAGATGAAACCATCACATCAAGCCAGAGGACCTCTTTATAACACTGCTACTTGTTAAAGCCATCACAATGTGCCATCCAGTATTCTATTCCTCAGACAGCCTAACTTCATAGAATGTTAGCCTACTCAGACCCAACTCACCTATCATAGGAGCATTGAACAAAATCTCTACTTACTTTTCTCCTTTCTGGCAACCAAAAGGCCAACAACAGTCTCTTTATCTACCAGCTTCCTTCTGTCCCTGACTCTCTTATTTAAAAAAAAAAAAAAAAAAAAAGCCTTATCTAGAATACTCTTCTTCAAGTAAGATTTATCCAGCTTGTGTACTTGATTAATAATGCCTACGGTCAGGCACCAAGTTTTCTTTATTCCAATTACCGTCAATGTGTCTGGCACACAGCAAGTGCTCAATGACTATTTGTTGAATTGACTTATATAGTTTAAAAAATATCTGTATCAGTGATTGAATTTGCTCACTATATGTAGATTTTTTAAAATCATATCTAGGAGAAATATAACCTAAAGTAATTGATTTCTGAAGGTCACCTGAACTGATTCAGATCTTAATACAAGTTGTTTCATGTCTAAAATTATGTTTTTTGAACATATTTTCAATAATCTATGAGTGTTAGGGTGCCTGCGTGGCTCAGGTGGTTGAGCGTCCGGCTTTGGCTCAGGTCATGATCTAAGAGCTCATGAGTTTGAGCCCCACGTGGGGCTCAGTGCTGAAAGTTGAGAACCTGGAGTCTGCTTCAGATTCTGTGTCTCCCTCTCTCTCTGCCCCTCCCCCACTAGCACTCTGTCTGCCTCTCTCAAAATAAATAAACATCAAAAAATAATAATCTATGAGTGTCAGCAATGAAAAAGTTCTGGAATTGCTTGTGACATATAGTTTACTCTAAATTAATAAGCCACCCATCTACGACAAATTCATCTCTCTTCTGAAAGGATTGACCAATACTATAATCCTTACTATTCATGTTAGCTGAGAAACAGAAAGGTCCTTAACCAAGGATTTGCTGAGATAAGCATAACTTAAATATAAGACCAAAACAATAGAGGACTCTGGTGGACAAGTTACTGCTTTTCAATACTAAGTCCAAACTCCTCCATATCTCTCTCAGAGAGTATTTTAAACTTTAGGGATTCACCACAAGCATAATGTTTAGGGGACTGCTACTGGGTTCTGGGGAATGGTACATCCATTACCCTTTAAAAATGTTTTCACTGATGTAATCAGAATGAATTCAGCAAACCAACTGGAAGAATTATAATTATTCACTTCTGTACCAATGTTGGGAATGAATATAACTTCCCTTGCAAGCTTTATTGCATGGTAATTTATCTGAGCTGCATTAGGTGACAAGCATTCTGGAAGGCCAGCAGAGTCATGGAATGGCCTTGCCTATCTCTTAGAGGTTCCTGTCACTCTGCTTAGGAAGATTACTGACTCTGTGCCTCAAATACATTATTTAGCATCAAAGTAGAACGCTAAGTAGGAGAGAAAAACACTTGCTTGTAGGCATATTATGAATAGTTTCATGACTTGCACTTTATTCCATAATGACATCTTTGATTCTAAAGTAGTGATGTTCCCAAGGCTATAAATAGAAGAAAGAGACATATGAACATAACATATACACTTAGAAATTGAAAGGGAAAGAACATCATATAATCATAATAGGAAAGACTTATTTTGCTGTCCAGTCATCTTACATCTCACGCACAGTTTCCATGGTTTTGAGGAAGTTTCCAATATTTTAAGAGTATACAATTTCACCTTTGAGGCACAATGTGATTAAAACTGTAAAACTTTAGAAAGATCGCCATTAGAATCTATGTTAGGGTATCTCCCAATCTTTTACCCACATATGCACAGATGTACAAAAATAAATATATTTACCTACACTTCTACTACTTTGGAATGTTAGCTTAGGAATTCACGTCCTAAAATTGGTTGAGCTGGGGGTCCAAGCCCAGGTGATGGCCTTCTTTCAGAACACATCTAATTTTAATGTGAGTGCAAATTAATTATCTTCCCCCTCCAATTGACACTGACCAATTTGTACTGAGAAGTAAGGGTGACAAGGCAGAAGGGGTGATCAATAGCGTGTTATACGCAGCCACAGGAAATCTGATCCCCAGGGGCTCAGAATGCCAGAAAGGGCAAGAAGTTAATGGGGGCAAGACAGCAAATCTGCACTATACTTTAATTTGCAAGTTGAAAAACTGACTATTTTTGGTAAGAAGTCTTCTATCCCATTTTCTTCAATAGCAGAAATCTATGATTCTCTTTCTTTCATCCAGTTTGAATTAAACACACGTACTGAACAGAGAACTGAACAGAGAACTGAAACCCAAAGGAAATTTTATCTTAATTTGACAAATATTTTTGTGAATTTTTTTTTCGTGAATTTAATAAAAGAAGTTATTGTTCCAGAAATGTACTGGCTTTGTAGGATAATAATCAAAGTGCCATTTTATTTTAAAATGATCATATCAGAGCCACATCTTGAAATTAAATCAACATAGATTCAACCAGCATTCATTCAGATATTTGGGGTGTGGCTACATGTACTGGTCACTATTCTTAGTGCCATGGATGCAGAAATACAAGATAAAAGTGACTGTCTAAGCCCTCAATGAACTCACAGTTTACAGGGGGAGACAAGTTAAAAGATTCTAAACAATACACTACCTGCATCTCTAAACTAGGTATACTTACAATCTTATCACCTATTTTATTGAAAGAATTAAGTGAGATAATCCATATAAATTATTTAACAAAATTCCTGGCACATAGTAATTTAAATAACTATTAGGATCAGATGATGATGATGATGATGCCTCCACTAACCCAAGGATCTACAAGCACACTGAAGACCCAGAATGGATATTAGGAAATAACTTTTTTTTAAATTTTTTAAAAGTTTATTTAATTTTGAGAGAGAGACAGAGCATGAGCTCTGAGGCGCAGAGAGAGAGGGAGACACAGAATCCGAAGCAGCCTCCAGGCTCTGAGCTGTCAGCACAGAGCCTGACACAGGGCTCGAACCCATGAACCACGAGATCATGACCTGACACTTAAGTGACTAAGCCACCCAGGTGCCCCGGAAAAAACTTTTAAATAAAAACATTTTGTAAGAGGTATACACCACATCTAAATTTTTAATAATGAATAAAAATAATTCAATAAGATAAAGAGTTGGAGAGAGATAGAAATGTCCTAGACAGATGAAATAGAATCTTCAAGTTTTCATCTCCTACCCTGAACAGTTTAGGCTCCCTCCTGAGAGTTGGAGCAGCCCTAGACCACATAGTTAGTACCTAAATACTCTCTGTTGTTTATGTTCAGGGAAGCCCCTAAACGCTTGAGAGACCCTTGTATCTGGACACAGGATTCAATTTACATGTGTCCCTAAATTTCCATCCTCTTTGATTCTGGTGAGAACCTTTTGCATGATTGATTAAATAACATGAAATTAACCACTATTATCCTGTGTTTGGTCTTTTCTATTCACATGAAATCTATTTGCACTGGTATTTGAAAATACAGATCTGTCTTTTCCTATTTAAATAAATGTCATTAAATGTCTTCAAGTCTTATCTGCAGCACATACGGCATTATTCTATTCTTTTAGAACATACATACTTCAGTACATTGTTAAATAAATTTATATTAATTTATTCATCCATTCTTTATTCTTTATGTATGCCTGTAACATACTAGATACTGCATTCCACATATTTGTGAAAGGTGTTATATAATAGGAGAAACATGGTCTTTTCCCCATATAGCTTTAAGATTTTTAGTGGCCTAGGCCCCTATTAAAATTTTGTCTGAATCCACAAGTGCTCAAAGAAGCTCTTAACTCTGAAAACTATAATAAGAAAAGGTCTATCAAATCATATAGTAAGCATTTGATGAAACTACTGTAAACATTGAAGAACATAACCCAGAATACAAATCCCATAACAGACTCTATTATAATTGAAATGGATCTATAATAATTTAAATGGATTCAGAAACTAGTAAGGAAAATCAAGTTTCTACAAATGGTGCTGGGAGTATTGGTGTGGAACTAGAAAATATGTGAAATTAATATTCACTCTATATATGTACTAAAAAATAAATTCTAGGGGCACCTGGGAGGCTCAGTCAGTTAAGCATCTGACTCTTGATTTCAGCTCAGGTCATGATCTCACGGTTGTGAAATCGAGCCCCACGTCGGAATCCATGCTGACAGTGTGGAGCCTGCTTGGGATCCTCTCTCTCCCACTCTCTAGGCTCTACCCTCTCCCTCTCTTTCTCTCTCTCTTTCTCTTGAAATGAATAAACTTCAAAAAGACAAATAAATTCTAGCTACATCAGAGCATCCTAGATAACTTCTGTTCATCCTCCAAATTCTCTGTCTACCCTTCATCACCCTACTTTAGTCTCCCAAGACCTTTATGACCTCTATTTATGACATCAAGAGGCTACCTTCCCATCTAGCTTCTAGCTGAATTCAACAAATGAGAGATTCCAACACAAGACCATAGAGTAAGAAAACGAGAGCAGGAATTTATTCCCCTAGCTTTCTCTTTGCCACATTACCACAGGTCACCTATGCCATTCCACCAAAGGCGTGGCTCCTGTCAGGTGGCCCAATCTGTAAGTTCCAAAAACTTTTTCTCTACCCTTATCCCCTCATGTCTGGGGCTGGTAATAGGACCCCATTAGTACCAACCCTGGGGCACCTCACCATCCCTTATTGGTCTCCTTTAATTCTACCCACACCATTTCAATAGACTCCTATAAAAGACTCTTCAATTATACCATGTCAGTGAGTGATTTGCTTCCCATACCCCCCCTGACTGAGGTAGAGATATATAGGAGTTTGACATAGTTCCCCTAGGTAGAAAAGGTTCTCGGCTTTATTCAGACATTGTATACAGTATCATCTTTGCTCTTGAAGAGGCCTAGAGTTAATGAAATAGTATCTGGACAACATAGGAATATTTATTTATAATATTTCAGAGTTCCATTAAGTTTCATACTACTTTATATACAATATAGGGTACAACCAATGCCTCCATGGTTACTAAAAAAAAAATTTGATTTTTGCCATTTCATTATATGCATGATGGGACTCATGTGATGTCAGTGAAGAATGGATTCACCTGTGGGTCAACTAATGAAAAGCAAAATCCTCCAAGTCAAGTCTTTGTCTTCCAGGTGACATATGTCCTTAAATTGCTTATATTTAGGAATATTTCATGTATAAGTGAAATCAACAAGGACTTCTCTCTGTTTACATAACAGACAAAAGTTAGAGGGGAAGAAGATTTTATCTGGATATTCTGAAACCAGTCCCAGTCATAAATATATAATGTTTGGACATACTTATCAAATTATTCCTCAGATTCTTAAGTTATTCAACAAACATTTATGAAGTATATAATATGTGTCAAGTGTTACACTAGGTGTTGAGGATACATAACAAACGAAAAATACCATTCTGGCCTCATGGATTTTAAATCCAGAAAAGGAGAAAATATTAAAATAATAATACCACAAATAAATATTTAAATTATAATGACTGCAACGCAAGATGCCCTAAAACAGTTTAATCATGGGATCTTGTTTGACAGGAGGTCAGGAAAAAAATCTCTTCTAAAGAATCATTCTTAGATCTGAGACATAGAAGATGAATAGTATCTCGTTCAGGCAAAGCATTTGTGAAGGTCCAGAGGTGAGAAGATACTTTGCATTTTCATCAAAACTGAAGCAGCTGAGGCTCACTGAACAGCAGGAAAGAAAGGAAACAGGTAAAAATAGACAGTGGCCAAATCATCCAGGGCTTTATAGACCATGTTAGACATGTTGTATTTTATCCTAAGATTCATGGAAAGGGTTTGAAGGAATAAGACTAACCTGAATTTTTAACAATCACTCTGCTACCAGATGCCAAGAACAATTATGAGCTATAGTAAATAAAGCATCATGGTATTGTTTCAGGAATATGAAAGTAGCTTAATAAAACATAGTCCAAAATCATTCCTATAACTATGGAAATTTAGAATATGCTAAAGGTAGAATTTCAAATCAGAGGATAAAGGACAGTGTGTTGGAATAAAGTGTGTTGGAACCATTGATCTAATAGTTGGGGAAAAGTTAAGCCATGATATTATTCTGTATGCTGATTATACAGCTGTTGTAAAAGATGAACCCTAAAATCTCAGTGGCTTAAATTTATAGAAAGAAGAAAGAAAAATCTAAAAAAAATAAGGAAGAATTTCTTGCTTGACATAGAGTCCAAAATGGATGCTTCTGATTGGTGGGTGGCTCTCCCCTAATTGATGAGTCTTGGATTTAAACACTTCCCAGATTTGGGGCGCCTGGGTGGCTCAGTCAGTTGAGCGACCAACTTCAGCTCAGGTCATGATCTCATGGTTTGTGAGTTTGAGCCCCGCATCGGGCTCTGTGCTGACAGCTCAGGGCCTGGAGTCTGCTTCTGTGTCTCTCTCTCTGCCCCTCCCCTGCTTATGCTCTCTCTCTGTCTCAGAAATAAATAAACATAAAAAAAAAATTTAAACACTTCCCAGGTTTGACTTCACCACCTTTGAAAGATGACCTACAAAGTCATTTTGGAAGAGGATCTCTCTTGAAAGGTTATTAAAGCCCAAAACTGGAACTGATGTACATTGCTCAACTCTCATTCTATTGGCTGCAATTTAGGCACATGGCCTCACAGGAGACTGGGAATCTAATTATGTATGTAAATACAAAGAGGAAACAAGTGTGTGATTGCCCAGGAATCTCAGCCATAAACAACATCTTATGCAAAATTAAATTTTGTAAGTATTAAAAATCTAACATAAAAAAACTATGAGGGGCACTTGGGTGCCTCAGTCTGTTGAATGTCAGAATTTGGCTCAGGTCATGATCTCAGCGTTTGTGGGTTCAAGCTCCATGTAGGGCTTGGCACTGACAGCACAGAGCCTGCTTCAGATTCTGTCTCCCTCTCTCTCTCCCCCTACCTCCTACTCCTCCTCCTCCTCTCTCTCTCTCTCTCTCTCTCTCTCTCTCTCTCTCTCTCTCTTTCTCTCTCAAAAATAAACATTAAAAATTAAAAACAAAACTATGAGAGTGCCAACAGAGATTTTAAAAGAACATTTTTATAGTCAATCTGGCAAAGACTAGAGATATAATGCAGAAACCACACACACACACACACACACAGAATGACAGATTTAACTACATCAAAATTCAAAATTTTTCTTTCACAAAAGACAAATTTAAAATAATAAGTGGCACTCTTGGAAGAAATATTTGCAAAACATATAACAGACAAAAATATAATAGCCCAACTGGATAAAGATATCCTAAAATCATTTAGAAAAAAAAATCATTATAAAAATCAACAACAACAACAAAAACAAAAAATACAGAAATTCCATTGGATCAAGGAACACGTGAAAAGATGTTCAAGTTCACCATTTCAGGAACAAGAAAAGCAAACAAAAAAAATGGAAAGGTAATGTATCATTTTATCTAGCCAAACAGGCAAAATCGTATGCAGGGTTAATGATTTATAAACACCACGACATTTTTTGGTTGAAGGGTAGGCTGGTACAGTTTTGGGGAGAGAAATTTGAAACTGTATGTCAGTACTTAAGTTGACCTAACAATTCAACTTTCAAGACCTATCCTACAGAATTACACATGAGTACAAAGATAGAGTGCAGAAAGATGGCATGGAAGGAAGGAATGTGGCGACAGGATGCTAGAGGAATAAATCAGAGTATGGATGCAGATGTTCGTTAGAGCATTTTTTATAATGTAGAAAAACTAGGGGCACCTGGGTGGCTCAGTCGGTTGGGCAACCAACTTTGGCTCAGGTCATGATCTCACTGTTCGTGGGTTCATGTCCCGCGTCTGGCTCGGTGCTGACAGTTCAGAGCCTGGAGCCTGCTTCAGATTCTGTGTCTCCCACTCTCTCTTTCCCTCCCCGCTTGCATTCCGTCTCTCTCTCTCTCTCGCATAAATAAATTAAAATAAATTAAATTTTAAAAATAAATTAACAAACAATTTTATAATGTGGAAAAACTATAAACAGCCTATGTATGGTAATGGTTAAATAAATTATGGTATATTCATACTAGAATGATAGGTCACTCTTAAAATAAATGGGGTAGATTGAAGTGCACTAACATGAAAGGTTTATAAAGCATATTTAGGGGTGCAAGTTACAAAGCTAGGAAGCTAATCACACACACACACACACACACACACACACACACAGATATGTAAATGATTAAATGCATAGAAAAAGCTTTCAGGTAATTGGGATCAAACATGCAGGGAGAAGTATGAATAGGGGCTGGGAATAGGGAGGAAAACAAAGAACACAGGGGCGCCTGGGTGGCTCAGTCGGTTCAGTATCTGACTTTGGCTCAGGTCATGACCTCACGGTTAGTGAGTTCCAGCCCCGCGTCGGGCTCTGTGCTGACAGCTCGTGGCCTGGAACCTGCTTCAGACTTTGTGTCTCCCTCTCTCTCGGCCCATCCCCCACTCACTCTGTCTCTCTCTCTCTCTCTCTCTCTCTCAAAAAATAAATATTAAAAAAAATTTTAAAAGAAAACAAAGAACAGAGTGGATATTTGCTTTTAACTTTACATGTTTGTAAATTGTTTCAGTTTTATAAAGTATACTTGTTTCTTTGAAGTTACAACAAAAATATACTCTACCAGGAAAAACAATGATACTATGGATAAATGCCTCTGACTCTTTCTCTTAGTTGGATAGCCTTCCATTTTGTGTGGTAACTGAAACCCTATTCACTTTCCAGGACCCAACTCAATCATCACAATATTTCTTGATGTTTAAGTCAAAGTTATTACAAATTCCAATTAGGATTTTTAAACTTCCTTGAGTGTTGGGCATTTCCATGCCTGCAAACTTCCCACCCTTTCTGACAAACACCGAATACCAGCATCTCCGCTATGCTTTTCCACAGTACTACAAAACTAGAGCACTTTAACAATGCATTATAATCATTTCTCAGAGCCACCAGTGAACATATTCATCAGAGTTCTCAGTGTTTATTAAAGAGGATATTAAAGAGGAATTTTCCTGCACATATACAACTGAGAACGAAATGCAACTAAGAGGAACCATCTCTGACTTTCACCCTCTCTTTGCCTAATAAGTGGTGTGGGGATGTGAGCCATTTCCATAATTCATAGGCATCCTGTGATGTGCAAGGTTATTTTTGAATTTGTTTCTCCGGTAAGAAAAGATTTCCTTCCTAAAATTAGATTGTGAATCTACTTCCAAAGCCACTAATCAAACATAAGTTAAAGCTACTTATAAGGGAGAGAAAACTTTAGAGCTCTAAAATCATTAGAAATAGGTCACCGAGAGCTTCAGTAAAACTTCACACAAGGTTCCAATAAAAAAAAAGGTATTCTCATTAAGAGCTGTAAAGTAATCCTGCTATCAAACAGGAAAAAAAATTGCATATGCAAAAGCAGCAAAATATAGTCTATAAAGTCATTTAATGAAGCAGAAATTTGTATCTATGCCATATCTAATGCAGTTCTTAAAAAACCTCAGCATATTCGCTAATTATGAACCATATATTATACACAGTTATTATGGGTATTATTCAGCAATAGAAGATTTAAACTTGGTTGTCTCCTTCACCATAGTTAGCAAAGAAATACTGGCACATATATGATCTGCTTAAATAGGTTAGAAAATAGGAGGGAATTTACTAACTAGCCCTTTAATTATGCAAACAGAGTTTCCATAATTCTGAAACTGAATTCCATGACACCCACAGATTTCCCTATAATCTAGCTGTAAATAGTAATTACAGTGTTCATAGTAGAAAATGCTGTATTTTAGATTGCAAAACAGTCTCTATTATTATCTCTTGTATTAAGTCATTTGATAACTGTCTAAAACTTCCCTACTAGGATGATTTTTAGATTCTTTGGAAGCATATTTTTCTTTATTTTCATGAAAAGTGTTAGAAAAATCTGTTCAGCCATTTTCAAGTTAAAGGACAATGGGAAGGGAATTTGCCGTTGAACTTTAAAACATTATATTTAGCAGGTCCTCAGTGGGTTGCATAATCAGTTCAAGACTATGGATTAACAATCAAAGGAAGCTCAGACACTGACCTACATTAGAGAAACCCTACACACACAACCAAGAATTCATCATCCCCAGAGAATTGAAAGCCTTCCGGGTAACCTGCTAGCTAAGCAGGATTTGTCCCAATATTATAGTGCTAGGGACCAAGAAAAAAATCATCCTGAAAGGTACCACATTAAAGGTGAGAAAAACAGCAAGAGTCCTACATAACCCACCATTAATTTTCAGACCTAGACAATAGTGCTGCAAGGCAATGATCATTTTACTATTTACTACGCGGGTTGAAGTCTACATCTACTTTTGAAAACCACTGTGGGTTTATATTCATCCTCAGGATGTTGAACACATAAGCTGCCAAATGAACTGAGCTGTGTTCGAAGTGGGATAATTTCAACTATCTTGAGCTTCACACCCAAATGTTTCACCATCGCTTCAACCTGACATGGGTTGTCATACTTCTTGAAATGTATCCTATTGCCACCAAAATCTACTTCTGTGTTTCCTATCTCAGTGAACAGATCCTCTATCTACCCAGCTAAATGTTGAAGCCAGATAATGAAGCATCATCTTTGATCATTCTTTCTTTGTATCTTGCACATCTAATCACAAGTCTTTCAAATTTCCTTATCCATTCATTTATCTTCATCTCTACTATCACCG